CTGTGGGGAGAGGCCAGGAGAAATGAGGGAGGAATATTGTTGGAAGAAAACTTAGGGAAACATACCGGGTAGAGAAAAGTGTTAGGGAAATTGAAGCCGCGGGGGGCAGGCCAAGGCGGACACGAAAGCCACTTTGGGATTCTCAAGTTAGCCCGGGAATAGGGGGCGAAAAGTTGAAACCAGAAGCTGAAACGTGAGCCTGGTTGGGATCCGTCTGATTAGCCCGGGGAGCAAAGGACGGGAAGCCAAACCGTGGGGCGGAGACGTACGCTGGGTTGAATTCGCCAGGCTAGCCCGGGGAACTTAGATTGAATGCTAGTGGCGGACACGTAAGCTACGCTGTGTTACTCGCGGAAGCTGCCGCGTGCAGAGAGAGCACGGGGCGTGAATAGATAGGGAACGGGGCTGGCGTAGGCCGTGGTTCAGACGCGAAAGGGTTAAGCGTGGAGACCGCGGAGCGCGCGAAGCCGAGCCGCGCAAAGCCGGGAAGCTGCGCAGATGAGAGAGGCGTGCGGGCTGAAGCGGCGCAGAGCCGGGAACCCGCCGGCGGGGCGAGGTGCCGGAAAGCCGCAGGGATAAGAGAAACAGAAGTTTAGAAGTAAAGTGAGAAAAATAGGAATGCTGGAAGATAGAAGTAAAATGGGAGAAATAGGAATGCCCGGAGATAGAGAAATAGAGAAATAAAAAGGCCTCCCTACAACACTGCAATGTGAGAGCTTGGATTCGGTCTGCCTAATCAAGTGAGGCGATGAGCACCTGCGGGCAGCTAGCAGCTTATGCGCCGCAGGTCACCGAAGACAGGCACGAATTAACATCAGTAAGGCTTCCCCACAATACAACAATATTAAGCTTGGATTCGGTCTGCCTGATTTAAGGCGGTAAGCGCCAGCAAGCAGCTCGACCAGAGTATGAGCTGCAGGTCACCGAAGATAGGCACAAACCAACACTAATAAGTCTCCCCCACAATACGGCAATGAGAAGGCTTGGATTCGGTTTGCCTGATAGGTTTTGTAAGCCCCTGCAGGCTCGACCAGAGCATGCGCTGCAGGGCACCGAACACAGGCACGCATCAGCGCCTAAAAACCTCCTCACAACATGGCGAAGAGAGGACCCGGATTCGGTTTGCCTGATGGATAGGACTTGTAAGAGCCTGTGGCAACTCTAGCAAGTAGAGCAGAGTGTGTGCCGCGGGACACCGAAGACAGGCGCGTATCAACGCCAAAAAATAAAAAGAAAGGGGGATCTGTGGGGAGCAACCGGACTAGACTAAGTTACTGGAATTAAGACTTATTCTATGCATCTGCTCTCCCACAATATGGCGCTGGGAGAGAAGTAAACAGCTTCCGCACAGCTGCCTCCAGTTCAACCAATTAACTGTAGGACTTGCTCCTGATTGGAGAGCAGCGTACTCGGCGTGTGGGCAGCCGAGTTAGGATTGGCGGAGGAGGACTATAAAGAAGGAGAGAGACGGCATGCACCGGGAACATCTATGGGGAACATCTAAGGGGAACACCTGTGCAGCCCCCGAGAGAGCCGGCCGGCGGTGTGCCGCTCCCCTGCGGAAGTGGGGAATGCGGCCAGGGGGAACTGCCCTTCCACGGAGGTGGAAGGGATAGTAGCCAACCCGGGAAGAACCAGCAGCAAACCCGGGGAGGGCCGAGCAGACGAAAGAACAGCGCAGGGTCCTGTGTCGTTCCTCCACGAAGAGGGGGAGCGACAGGATTGAATTGGAATCCCCTGGTATGTTTCTAACTCTACCGTTTGAGGTAAGTCAGCTTGAGCATGTCCCGAATTGCACATCTCTTCCCTCTCTTATTCCCACTCTTATATTTAACAGCAATCACTTTTCAGTTAAGTTTCAGCACTTAAGAATAATTGTGTGTTGATTACAGTATTCAACCAAAAGTATTAAGTAGAACAAACAAAAAAAAATACTAAGAGGGATAACATATTAAGTTGTTCATCAACAGTCAGTTGTCAAATTTAAAAACCTATAGATAAGACTCTCAGGTGCCCCTATTTGCCATAACCATATCTACTCTCAAGACCCCTTAGGAGTTATTAGGCAACAACACGGACCACTTTTTTGGGCACACATAGTCTGGAGCCAGTGTCATAAAATAGTTAACAAAGTAGACGCCATCCTTATGATGGGACTTAAATTAAGATATTATGCCAATAAGATATTTAACACAGGGCCAGACATAGTGGTCCTCCCCTATCACATTTAAAACTGTTCACATTGATGAAGAATAGCATGCTCTTTCAAACTTTAATGATAAATTTCCCAGGACAGGTTGACAATCACCTACCAGTGGACAGACTACTGCAGATGTTACAAACCTTAGAAACATACTATTCAAAACATGCTTTACCTGCTAATCAACCTATACCCATGGCTCCATGTATGTTTACAGACGCCAAGTCACTGTTTGAAATAGTGATCAAATCCTCCACAGAAAAAGATAAGACCTATGTAGAACCACATGGGGGATCAGTACAGTTGAGAGAAATAAGGGCAATAGTCAAGGTTCTACTCCTTAGCCAGGATGGGCCAGTAAATATATTTTTGGACAGCAAATACTCAGTACAGGTAGCAAAGAAGATCCCTTTTGCAGTCTTTAACCCAACCAATAAGCCAATTGACCAGATGTTCACAACACTTAAAGAGCTAACTGAGAATAGAAAACACCCATGGTATATCTCACACGAAGATCACATACTGGGTTACCTGGCTTTATTTTCCAAGGCAACAAAAAGGTTGATTGTCTTATCTCCTGCAACACGGCTTCCATCGGACACCTAGAAAAAGCCCATATTCTACACCAAAAATTTCGTATGTCAGTAAACAACATAAAATTGCTTTTCCTGGAGCTAACAATGAGCCAATGCAAACACCTAGTGCACTCTTGCAAGAACTGTGCCCCCCCCTCCCTGTTAGGCCCACTGCAACAAGCAGGAGTGAACCCACAAGGCTTTGCTCCTAATAAGCTCTGGCAAGTGGACATCACCCACATTAACTCCTTTGGTAAACTTAAGTTTGTCCATGTAGTGGTAGATACTTATTCAAAGGCTGTATTTGCAACAGCCCAATCAGGAGAAAAGGCTAGTAATGTGATAAAGGCGGTTAAGTCAGCCATGCTGATCCTTGGTGTCCCTTGGACCATAAAGACTGATAACAGGCCAGCATATACATCACAGGAATTTAATTCTTTCCTGAGATTCTGGAACATACAGTCTTCCACAGGTATCTCATACAACCTGCAGGGATAGGCAGTCATTGAAAGAACTCATAGGACGATTAAAGATCTCTTACAAAGACAGAAAAACAATCATATGCCCGAGACCCACAGCTTGCTTTGACTGAGGTCCTTTTCAATATTAATTTTCTTACTTTCTATTCCCAAAGGATCAGCCCAGCTTATAAACACTGGGGACCTTTCTATCCCAGACCTCAGCCCCTATGGTTAGGTGGAAAGACTCCCTGACATGAGAATGGAAAGGACCACACCCTCTGCTAACCAAGGGCTGAGGATATGCTTGTGTCTTTCCAGAGAATATGGGACAGCCTATTTGGGTACCAGCCAGAAACATCAAGCCTGCAACTGACAGTCAACCAGAACCAGCTGAACAAGACTGAGAGCCCGCCTTGTTAACAGACGCACCTCCCCTATCATCCTACCCTGAGGAACTGACCATAGCCACATCCGCTACTGCTTTACACCCCACTTAACTCTGGTCAGCCACTCAAACAGCCCACAGCCTGTGTGTGGTCACGCCATTCCTGATTACCATTGTTCCTCATTCCTACCTGCATCTGAGAAAGCACTCCTGTGGTATCCCGTTTTAAGCGCTGGTTAGTCAATGACGGGTAAGATCCCCTGGGGGACAACCTAAGACAAGCACAGCCATGTATGGAGACCACATGGAAATGGGGTCAACAATGGTATGGCCAAGAATCATGCCTCCCATTTCACAAAAATAAACAAAAAGGGGGAAATGTGGTGGAATGAGAAGGCCATGCCAAGATGGCCACTGGCAATGGCTCCTGCCTGGCTTAGGCTGTTATTGGATGGCTTCAGAAACCACATGACAACGGAGCCTTCCTGGCAACAGGCCATGATTGGATGGCTTCAGAAACTGCCTGGCAACAGGCTGTGATTGGTTAGGGCATAGACTGCCCCTTGACCAGATTGGCTGCCTTGGCTATTTAAGCTGGTGTACCAACTGAAATAAATGAGTCTGCAGGCTGCTCGCCTCTGGCCTGCTTTCACCCAACTCCCGGGGTCTGTGTGGTGACTCCGCACCTCTTGCCCCCACCACACTCCTCCTCTCAGAACAAATCCACCTCAACAAAAGACTCCACCAAGAGACTATTGAAGCTCATAAAAGAGTTTGGTAAAGCGGCAACATATAAAATCAATACACAAAAATCAACAGCCTTTGTAACACAGACAGTACCATGGCTAAGAACAAACTTCTAAGATCAATCCCATGCACAAGAAATACAAAAAAAAAAAAATCAAATACCTTGGAATAAATTTAACCCAGGATATCAAAGATCTCTGTGATGACAATTACAAAACATTAAATTGAGAAGTTTCTGCACTGCAAAAGAAACACTCAGGAAAGTAAGGAGGCACCGACAGAATGGGAGAAATTATTTGCAAACTATGCAACTGATAATGGATTAATATCCAAATATATAAAGAGATCAATAAAGTCAACAACAACAAAACAAACAACCCAGTAAAAAATAATGGGCAAAGAACTTAAACAGACATTTTTCAAACAAGGAAATCCAAATGGCCAACAGATACATGAAAAAATGTTCAGGATCACTAGCCATCATGGAAATGCAAATCAAAACCACAATGAGGTTCATCTCACCACAGTTAGAATGGTTTTCATATAAAAATCAACAAACAACTAATGCTGGCAAGGATGTGAGGGAAAAGGTACCCTAACCCACTGTTGGTGGGAATATAAACTGGTAAAACTACTATGGAAAACAGTATGCAGATACCTCAGAAATATGAATATAGAACTACCATATGACCCAGCCATCCCATTCCTGGGAATTTACCCAAAGGAAAGGAAATCAGCATATGAGTTATCTGTACCCCCATGTTTATTGCAGCTCAATTTACAACAGCTGATATGGAATCAACCCAGATGTCCATCAACTGAAGACTGGGTAAAAAAATTATGGGATATGTATTCTATGGAATTCTACACAGTGGTAAAAATTGAAATCCAGTCATTTACAAAAAATAGATAAATCTGGAAAACTACATTCTTAGTGAAATAAGCCAGTTCAAAGGGAGAAATACTATGTGTTCTCCCTGACCTGCAATAACTAACAGAGCATCTAAAACCAATCTGTAGAAGTGAAATTGACACTTTGAGAAGGAATGACTTGAACAGCCCTTGTCTTGATTGTTGAGAACAGTTTTTTAAAATACTATTTGTTGAACTCTTCACTTAACAAAGTTGAACATGTGTGTACAAAGTCCACTGAAAATAGATCTCAGTGAAAAATAAGAGTAGGAATATGAGAGAGAAGAGGAAGAAGGTTGGGAATATGGTTGGGAGGGTGGGAAAAATGGAGGGAATCAGCATTTTCCTAAAGTTTTAACTATGAAGTGTATGAAGTTCATAATGTAAAGCTATATAGTTCTGCATATATTCCTACAGACTTACCTCTAAGAGTATAGTTTAAAAACTTGACATGGGACCCCAAATCCTCTTAAGCTGGGTGGTAAAAACACCATCTTAAGTGTGAAAGTGATCATATGGATAGGATTAAGGGTCTGGCAATAATAACAGAATTAAAAGGAGTGAATGCTCCAATAAGGGATGCAGTCCACACAACAGATTCATAGAATGTGTCGCTCCCCCTCTTCGTGGAGGAACGACACAGGACCCTGCGCTGTTCTTTCGTCTGCTCGGCCCTCCCCGGGTTTGCTGCTGGTTCTTCCCGGGTTGGCTACCGTCCTTTCCACCTCCGTGGAAGGGCGGTTCCCCCTAGCCACTTTCCCCACTTCCGCGGGGGAACGGCATACCGCTGGCTGGCTCTCTCGGGGGCTGCACAGGTGTTCCTCTTAGATGTTCCCCTTAGATGTTCCTGGTGCATGTTGTCTCTCTCCTCCTTTATAGTCCTTTTCCTCCAATCCCAACTCTGCTACCCACACGCCGAGTACGCTGCTCTCCTCCAATCAGGAGCAGGTCCTGCTGTTTATTGGTTGAACTGGAGGCAGCTGTGTAGAAGCTGTTTTCTTCTCTCCCAGCGCCATATTGTGGGAGAGCAGATGCATAGAATAAGTCTTAATTCCAGTAACTTAGTCTAGTCCGAGTTGCTCCCAGTTGCTCCCCACAGAATGACAATCATTTTAAATAGCACTCTGACTTCAGAATCAGCCCAAGGAATTCTGGTCTGGCTGAAAAGCCTATGAGAGTTTTTCAGGCATGGAAAGCCAAGACATTGTGGCAAAAAAAAAAAAAAATGCCCTATATGAAGTACCTCGGTGGGTGAGACCCCAGTGGAATGAAGTGGTCATCAAAGGAGAGACTTTTCTCTGAAGGGAGGAGAGAACTTCCACATTGCTTATGGCTTTGTTTAAATACTGATGGAGTTTGTGGATTCAAAAGGCTTTCATAGCTTAGGCAGCTCATATAAAGAGCCTCCCGTGATAACTGATGTCATACATGAGTGTTAATTGTTAAGAGTCACTATGCCCTAACTTCCCATGCAGAACCTCTGTCCTCAGAGAGTTGTATTATAATTATGTCTAAGTGCTCACAAAAGATGTGTTCATTTTTGGTTGTTTCTTTAATTAACTTTCTTTAAAAAAAAAAAAAAAGAAGTGATATTAACTTCAAGATGCAATGACCTTCAAAAACCTTTGTCTCGACTGTTGAGAGTTTTTGTTTGTTTTTTTGTGTGTGCAAATTGTTGAACTCTTTACTTGGTATAAGGTTGGTCTTCTGTGTATAAAGTTAATCAAAAATGAATCTTGGTGGAGGCTGGGAATGGGAGAGGGAGAAAAAAGAAGGGAGAGTGGGTAGGAGGGTGGGTATGGTTGGAAGAATTACTATATTCCTAAAGTTGTATTTATATGCAAAAACAAACAAATAATTTAATTCATTAAAACAATTTTTAAATATAAAGATGTTGATCTCCCACAAAAAATGAGTTATGTAAGTTTTCTTCTAATCACTGAGTACAGTTTTTCACCACGCTTGCCACATACATGATGATGGAGCTGTAAGATTAAAATAGAACTGAAAACTTCCTATTGCCAAGTGACATCATAACCATCATAATGTCTTAATGTAATCATGACTTACATGCCTTTGTGATGCTGGTTTAAACAGCTTACTGCACTGCCAGTCATACAAAGGATAGCACATACAATTATGTACAGTATACCATAATTGATAATCATAATAAACAACTATGCTAATGGATTAAGTATTTAAACTAAACTACTTTTATTGTTATTTTATAGTATACTCCTTCTGTTTCTTTTAATTTACTTTAAAGCAATATGCTTTGTTACACCAGCAGTAACCACATACATCTCACAATTACTACATCTTTTGATTGCACCAAGAGGCTGACATGAAGCAAGGGGCCTGTGCAATCAAGGTGTGTTGAATTACCTAGCTGACTCTGAAGTTTGCTCAATAATGATGCATTTCTCAGAATGTACACCCTTTTGTGTGTGATGCATGACTTCATATATATATTTAAATATATATATGTAAATTAAAGATTTGTATTCTTTGAAGATTAAATAAAACGAAATTGGAAAACCATCTGAGCTTTGTATCTTTGAGAGAAAGGAAACTGAATTTTTAATTCCATTTCTTTGGTGGTTATTCATTTAATTCTTATGTCAATTTGGGTAATGTATTTTTTCTCAGAAGTCACCCATTTTTTAAATGTTTCAAACATATTTACATAAACTTGTTCATAGTATTCACTAAGGATTCTTTTTAATTTTCACTTTATTTGTACTTATATTCTCAATAAACACATATATAATCAACTTTTTTTGAAGATTTATTTTATGTATTTGAAAGACAGTTACAGAGAGAGGTAGAGACAGGGAGAGAGAGGGGTCTTCTATCCTCTGGCTTACTCCCCAAATGCTTGCAAAGGCAAAACTGAGCCATCTGAAGTCAGAAACCAGGAGCTTCTTCTGGGACTCCCACATGGAAGCAGAGGTACAAGAACTTTGGCCATCCTCCACTGCTTTCCAAGATGCATTAGCAGGGAACTGGATCAGAAGTGAAGCAGGTGGGACTTGAACCAGTGGGAACTTGAAATCATAAGGGATTCCAGCACTGCAGGCCAGGGCTTTAGCCTACTGAGCTGCAGCACCAACCCCCAATATTTACCATTCTCTCTAAAAATCCCAAATGTTTGTGTCTTTTTATAAGTTTTGCTAACAACTTGTCTATTCAATTAATTCTTTCAAATCACTAGTTTTGAATTATGCCAATCCATGTCTTTTGAGTTTTTTAACTTCAGTAATTTTTGCTCTCATCTTTATTATTTTTGATAGTTTATGATTTAGTTTGTTTTTGTTCTAGTTTCCAGGATGCAACATGAACCATATATTTCCAGAGTTTCTTCTTTTTAGTAAAGCTAACTCAAATATTGCTTTAGCTGACTCCCACAAGTTTTGCTTTACAGTACCTTTATTTTTGTATAGCTTTTGTATTATGATTTGTTCTTTAGTCCATAAGTTATTTAGAAATATCCCTTAATATTTCCAAAACATGGCAATATACCACCTAATGTTTTTACTGACATGGTTAAAGAATTAGAAAAAGTATTTAGTCTATGTTATTCCAAATGGTTAGCACACATGATATATGCATATTGAGGAGAGAGCAACAGAAAAGAATTAATATTATATTTCAATGCTTATTTCTTGATCATACTTGTTTCTAAATTCTTGATATACCAGTTTCATTATGGTTGAAGATTTATTATTCCTTTTACTTCTTGCTTTATATATTTTGAAAGTGTTTTGTTAGATATATTTGGTGGTTGTGACACTTAGGTAGAGAATTTCTTTTAAAAATTATTTTACAATGTATCTCATTTATTAAAAATATTGTTTTATTTGAGAACCCTGAGTTAATTTGTGTCTGCTTATTAGAGCTTTTGTTTCCTTGCAATTTCAAACTTTCATTATCATTTGGCTGGCGGCATAAAACTGATCAAATTTTTTAATCACCTTGATACCCCAGCTTCTAACAGATGAGTTTAATCAGTTTAGATTTTTAGTCATTATGGCATTACTGGTGTATGTGGATCCATTTCTGTCACCTGATTTTGTACTTTCTTTTAATTTAGCTGCAAAGTCCTTCTGTCCTCACTGTTAATACCTCTAGTTTCTCCATTCTGTAAATTTCGTAGCTACAGAATATATTGCTATTATTTTGATCATTTGTATTACTATATTAAGATTTAAGCTCCATCACAAAAAATTCTAACAAAATCTAGAATTATTAAGTACTTCTATCCTCTTTATAATTAAAACAATGAATACAATACACTTTGATTCCTTGAATGGGTTCACATCATGGTATTTTTATACACAACTTCACTTTCTACTTTTGAACAAAGAAAGAACTTTTGTAAAAAAAATAGTTAAGTTTGCTGGCATATTTTATTTATTTCTATGTTCACTGTTGTTTCTAATGTTCCACATACTTCCTCTGCAATTACTTTTTTCTTGCCAAAGAAAAAAATATAGAGATTATAAATGATAAATTTCTCCCATTTTCTGTCTTAAATTCTCTTTGTTTTACCCTCATTCCTACCTAGATTTTCTGTATACAGTTCTAAGTTTATGTATATCTTCCCTCAGGACTTCTGAAATCCTACTGCATTCTCTGGCATCAAATGTGTCAGAGCAGAAGATTGCTGTTTGCCTAATTCTAATTCACAGATAATTTGTCTATTTTCTCTCAGAACTTCAAAAGATTTTCTTTTATTTGTAATGATCTCATTATAGTATGTCCAACAGTGAATTTATTTTTTATTTATACAATTTATACTGAGTAGTTTACTATTCTGTGAGTGATAACCTTAAATTCTAAAAATTTTTTTTTTTTTGACAGGCAGAGTTAGACAGTGAGAGAGAGACAGAGAAAAAGGTCTTCCTTTCCGTTGGTTCACCCCCAAAATGGCCGCTACGGCCAGTGCACTGTGCCCAGCGCGCTGTGCCAATCCGAAGTCAGGAGCCAGGTGCTTCCTCCTGGTCTCCCACGCGGATGCAGGGCCATCCTCTACTGCCTTCCCAGGCCACAGCAGAGAGCTGGACTGGAAGAAGAGCAACCGGGACAGAATCCGGCACCTCAACCGGGACTAGAACCCGGGGTGCTGGCACCACAGGAGGAAGATTAGCCAAGTGAGTCATGGCGCCAGCCTAAAAATGTTGTTAACAATCATCTTTCACATATTGGTTCTCTAAACTTCCTCCATTTTCTCCCAGTCTTGTGGTGACTCATACCCAGTGACTACTGGAGCATCTTAATTAATCTTTCAAGTTTCTTAATTGCTCTTTCATATATTGTGTCTGTGTGAAATGATGGAGGAACACTCAGTACTCTTCCAATTTATCATCCTCTTTTGACTGTGTCCACTGTCCCATCTGTCTAGTATATTACACTTTTGTTTCATTGAATACATTTTATTTCCAAGATAACTGAGGGGATTATTTTCACATCCACAAGTGCCTTATTTTGTCCTTGTCTGATTTTGTCTATATTTTCTATTTTTTCAACAATCATTTCAACATCTTTCTCAGGCTCCTCTAGTTCATGAGTTCTGATTGTTTACTTTGATTGTTTTTGTTCATCTTTATTCTGGTTATCTCTGTTAGCATCACAGATTTTTTTTCTGAGTTTTCATTCACAGGTAAATATTTAGTCGAAGATTTATTTTATCTCACTTTCTTCCCTCCACATTTATTTCCTCATGCCTCGTGCAGTCAGTTCTGATAATAGTCACTGCCATGTGTGATGTTAATACATAGTACACCTGTTTCAGAATAGCTTTTGTGATGTCTAAATCTAGACCAGGCACTGCTTAAATGCTCTTCCTCTTAGAATACCATAATATTATTGTGATTTTTTTACTGATTTTCCCCTCCCTAGCAAGACTATGGGTCCCAGGGCCTGAGCTACATGGTTCACCAGCACCAAAAGCAATGCCTGAAACAAAGTAACACTCATCAAATGAAATAATGAAATGTCTGTAGAACAGGAAAATGTGTCTGATGGTATCGCCATTGCATCATTTTTTCAGAGCTTTAAGGGTAATGACTTCTCTAGGTGATACTTGCTTACCTCTGAGTAGTGATTGAGCAAGTGCTTGGCTTCTAGATCAATCATAGCGTCTTTCTTTCTAAGTTATTTTCACACTGGGCGAATGTGACAGGCCAGCAGCTGTGAAACCTGGCAGGATAAAGGGGATGTTATCTCACATTCTGCGTTTTGTTCCATTGGTGTAATTACAATGATTGCAGATTAAACCTGCTCCTAGTTATTATAATTCTCTCTTCACGTCCCAAAGATGAGGGGTTTCATTCTACACAAAGATCTTATTCATTTCTTTCTGAACAGAAACCAACTAAAATTAGCTTCAAGTCATTATTCGCCTGTCAACATAGAAGTGCGTTCAGTGCACTCACTTCCTGTCAATACAATCAGACAACCTAGAAACATTTGAACCTGCTCACAAGTGACTGCTGGGAAGGACATCATTTCACAGCACCTTATAGTTCACTGAAAATCATATTGAAATAGTTTAGAAAACACAAACAGTGTCCCTTAATGTTTATAAAGTATTCTGATTTATTTACATATATATTATTTTCTCTTCAAAATCTCAGGTAACTACTATCATTATAAATAAAACACGTGCATGCTTTCTAATAAGAATTTTTTTTAGTCTGTGGGGTTTAGTAGTAATTTTTATCACAATATTTATTCTAAGATTTTTAGAGTATATTATTTTTGTCAAACACACTCCTTTAATAATGAAATTGGATGTTAATTACATTTTTTAAAATCCTTTAAAACATATATATAATCATTAATAATAGGCCATAAAAATCTATATGCCTCCAAAAATCACACCAAAAAAATCACCTTTTTGTGCAAAAACTGCCTTCATTTGTTCAATGGGGAAATTATTAATTTTTCATCTCTAAGGTATTTGATTATTTTACTAAATTTATCATGCTTCTGGTCTCTTAATTATGTATAGAAAGATAACAGCAACACTTTCTTCTAGATATCATAAACATCCCTTTAGTCCATTCTCCACTGCACGTAGAGGCCAGCTTATAATTTGTATTATTTCTGTCCTCAAATTTTGTCTGCTATATATACAAATAATATGTATACATATAGATGTTTTCCATTGTTCTAATTTTCCAGTTGTATATAAAAGTCATTTACAATCCTTACTGCATTACAGACTAGACTGAATGCAGAAAACAACACTCAGAGAAGGAAAGTAAATAAATTTATTGATTTTTCTTAGTAGCTGCTCTTTCAAGCAGTTATGCACAGGAAGTCATTAATGTTTAAATATTCAGTAAATTCACATTTTAAAAACCATACTGACAATATGTGCAATATTTACTGCATCCATGGATTATGAAATATTCAAAATTCTCAAAGATTGTAAATTTAGACTGTTTGAAATAAAACACATTTAAGCAAAGTATGTTAATGATGAAAGTAAATTCAATGATAAAATACTGAAAGGAAAGGAAAGGGAAATAGTGAGATAGGAAAAAGTACATAAATTTAGATGTCATAATACTATCCAACCACACAAGTAGCAACAGCTTGGCTACAAACCATGTGAAGAATTTCAATATTAATTCTTAGACTCTTAAGTGAAACTCTCTGATAAGAAGCACATCATTATAATTCAAAGTGTTTCACCTCTACACAAAGTATTAACTACCTTTTATGTGCATGGTAAAAAAGACACTATTTTTGCTTCAGGGAATTCAGACAATAGAAAATAAAGATATATTCCAGCCAACTGCAATCCAGTAACATTAATATGACAGTTATTTTAATGATATATTTGTATGAATAAATCCTCAATTCCACACATTAATAAAATATCTGTGCTTTTATAATTTATAACTACACACAAGTCATCTTTTATATTAATAGATAAATACTTCCATTCCAATTAGGTGTTAATATGAAATAGTCACTCATTTCCCATCTGCTAACTTATTTGTTTATGCACTCAGGAGGAGGACAATCAACTGTTGAGTGCCACTTACTGGAATATTCCATTTTACAAAATAAGTGATGTGAAATGTTTATAAATGTTTTGGTAAAAAGAAATAACCAGGTTATAAACCATTACTTTTTCATATTAACATAACAAAAATTTAATTGGCTAATAAATGACAAATTATTGAGACTACCCTGGTCTTAATATTTTTTCATCTCAAGTAGGTCTCTTAAATTATGTTTCCCATGTTTCAAAAATTTAAATAAAAGGCAAGCATTTGGTACTGCAGTTGAGATGACCACATCCCATATCAGAGTGTCTACACTTGAGATTTGGTTCCACATTTTGCTTCCTGCTAACAGAAGCCTGGGATACAGCAGGTGATGGCTCAAATGTTGGGGTCCCTGCCTGCCACACCAGAGACCAGATTGAGTTCCAGGCTCCTGGTTTCAGCCTGGTCCATCCCTGGTTATTTCAGGCATTTGAGAAGTGAATGGATCTCTCTCTCTCTCTCTTTCTTTCTTTCTTTCTTTCTTTCTTTCTTTCTTTCTTTCTCTCTCTCTCTCTCCCTCTCTCTCTCTCTCTCTTTCTTCCACCCTCCCTCCCTCTCTGCCTTCCTCCATCTCTCTCCCCTCTTTCACCATCTCAAATAAATAAATATTTTTTATTTTAAATAATGAATCACCACCCATTCTATAATAGTTCATGTAAGATTACTGATATTACTGACCAATACTATGTATCATGCAGGCACCATTAGCTCACAATCTCATAGACATGCTGAACAGTACTTTCTTATGATGTGGCTGTCTGCCACCTCAGTCTCAAAACTACATGGCTATGGGACTAGCGCCCCTCATAACCAAACCTCCCTCATTAAGCTTGACTTGCTTTCCTCTGTGTTCTGCATACAACTTGCCTGTCATAAGTGAACCTCATCTCGTATCTGTAAGTTAAAAGAATCCTGACCCAAATAAAACCCAACCATCATATGCCTATTTCAAATGTTTCCTAATAAGATAGCAACAAAAGGTAAGGTTAAGCAACTATATACAAGAATTAATTGGACCAATTTGCTTCAGTAACTGACTGTCAGTCTTTGACACCTCAGTCTCTAGGTGAAAAGTATTTCTCTGTAAGTTTCTTATGAATTCATCTACACCTATTGCATTAGTCAGCCTTTCATTGCTGTATCAAGATACCTGAGCTCAGCTCCTTATGAAGTGCAGAGAAGCTTATTTAGCTCACAGTTCTGGTCATCCGCAGCCCAAGAGCAGGTGGGCCTCTGGTGATGGCTTTATTGTTGAGAGAGTCCTAAGGTGGGTGAGAGCATTACATAGCAAGAGACAAGGAATATGCGTTCCTGTCTTGGTCCATACAGTCTCATATAAAGCCACCAGGACTTAACCATGATACTACATCTTAATGACCCAATCCAATCCAACTACTTCTCGAAGGCCCCACCTCCAAGCATGAAATTGGGTGTACATTTTACCCTCTTGATACCATTAACATGGGACTTTGAGGACTAAATTCCTTAGTCCAAACATTAGCATCTATTTTTTGTCTTTCTATAACCTCTGGACTGAATGGTCACTTAACCACTATCATCACATTGAATATATAATCATAAAATAATATTAATGAGCTGGCCACAACTTCTATTAGAAAAGATATACTTAAGATTGTTGTACTTTTTGTTTGTTTTTACAAAAATCAGGAAGCATTACTTCTCTTCAGTAAGATTAAATAAGCTAACAACACTTTCTTTACTTTTATATATTTTCCTAATAACATGAGAAGCCCCTAAATATTCAGGCAGCATTCTTGGGCTCAAGTTTGATGGAATCATTATAAAATTCTGGTGGCTTTGTGTATACCACGAGTTGGGTGATCCAGGATGTCCAGAAGAGGTATTTCCCATCCTCTGGACCAGACTTCCACAACTAATTAGGTTTATAATTACTTTTCCATTTATACAGAAGTCCTACAATGATACCTTTTACTCTCCAATCTGCCCACTCTCTTCTCACCCCCACTGCCACAGCCTTAGCTCAGCTGTGTATCAGTTCTCACCTGGGTTACCCTCAACAGCCTCAACTATGCATTTATTACACTGCCTTAGGAATGATGTCTTATCTATGTATGCATGACACAATGTTTTATAAGCTCCCTGTGAGCAGGTGTCATGTCTTAGATTACTTTTTCTGCAAGCACATAATAAACTGGCATATATCAGATAGTTGAAAAAAAGTTTTGTAGCATAGATACATTTCCCAACTTTTCTCTATTACTAGACTCTCCTTCCAATCTGGCTTCCACGGTGCTACCAAAATAACCTTCCTAAAATAGAAATCTCATCAAAGCATGCACCTGGCTAAATTCCTTTTGTGATACCTAAAAATCTTCACAATACTGCTCAAGTGTTTAGGCCTACCACTTCTATATTGTCATCTGCACTCTCTCTGCACCAAAGGAAACCTGGTCTGCTCTACCTCTACCAAAATAGCTCCCTACCCACTAGACTCTTTCACATACCCACTTTCAAGCCTTCTTCCAAACAATTCCCTCTAACCAGGATGCTTTTGCTACCTTGATCCCCTGAGCTAATGCCTTTATCCTGCATCCTTCAGATCAAGTGTCAATCTCTCCAGAAAGCAGGCCCTTTCTTTTCTGTCTGGATTAGATGCTGCTCTCAGCTTTCAAATATTCCAGGCATGCTTTTAGCCAAATCATTTATCACACTAAAAGGGAATGTTTTTGTTGTTTGTACACTTGTCAAATGAAAGTTCCATGACGGCATGGGTGTTGTCTTTTCCATATTTGAATTTCCACTTTTTAGACACAGTTTTTTTAATATAAGTTGGCCAATAACTACAAGGATGAGTGAATCATGTTTCTCATGATTTCTTATTTTCAAATAAATTAATATAATTTTAAGAGCAAATGGTCTCAGAAAGAATAAGTACCTTAAGAGCTGGCATTTAGACACCCACGTCCCACATCGGGTGCCTGGATTTAAACCCAAGCTCTGACTCCTTATTCTAACTTCCCATCATTTCAGACCCTGGGAGACAACACTGATGGTTCCAATCATTGAGTCCCTGTCACATTTCTGGAAGACCTGGATTATCTTCCTGGCTCCCGGCTCCTGCCCTGACTCCACCCTGGTCATTGTAGGAATTCAGGGAGTGAATCAGCTGGTGGGAATACTCTAAATAAATAAATAGGAAAGATATATATCTTGTACAGGATAATACTACTGCTAAACCAAGGATGTAAATTTTGAATTCAAGTGCCTCTGACTCTAAATAACAGCATTTATAACCTCAGTATTCAAGTATACCTTGACAGCTCATTCACACAGAAATTTGACCTCTCATGGTCCAAATTGCTTGCAGTTCCCTCTTTGCTCTATGAAGTATTTGGTGATTAACCTCAAACTACCTGAATCATCCTGGATTTGTTCATTCATGCATAGTCACCTGTTTGTTCTGTCTGTAGGTGGTTAGGCCAGAATGACTGCAGCACAGGACCAGCAGGATTATAAAGTTAGTGTATGTCTGTAAAATCAGGGTGGATTAATTTGCACAACACTACATACACGTTCTTCAGTCACTCCAACTCCATCACTGGCAAACAAGGTATTCTGAGCCTATAGGCAGGTTGGTGTTTGTTTGTTTTTTTTGTTTTTTTTTTTGTTTGTTTGTTTGTTTTGTTTTGTTTTTTTTTTTTTTTTTTTTTTGGACAGGCAGAGTTAGACAGTGAGAGAGATAGAGACAGACAGAAAGGTCTTCCTTTTTCCATTGGTTCACCCCCCCAAGTGGCCGCTATGGCCAGCGCGTTGCAGCCAGTGCGCTGCACCGATCTGAAGCCAGGAGCCAGGTACTTCCTCCTGGTCTCCCATGCGGGTGCAGGTCTGTGGCTCACTAGGCTAATCCTCTGCCTGCAGTGCTGGCATCCTGGGTTCTAGTCCTGGTTGGGGCACTGGATTCTGTCCCGGTTGCTCCTCTTCCAGTCCAGCTCTCTGCTGTGGCCCGGGAGTGCAGAGCAGGTTTTGAAGACAATTTCTGTGCATTTCTAGGAAGTGGCTTACTAAAGGAGAGAGAAAAGAAGAAATATATCTAGATTTAGAAAACACTTGTTTAACTTCTAACACTTGTTTACTATTGTTGCAAAGAAAAGTAATGTCATCATGCTTTTAATAACAAGCACAACCTAAGTTCCATTTCCTTCTCTTTACTTAAGATCTTTTTGTAAACTGGTGAGAATCTAAAGACTATATTTACTTGTTGATTCAAAAAAGATGTGGAGAGATCAGCATGGCAAAACAGGTTATGCTGCCACCTGTGATGCCAGCATCCCATGAGTGCCAGTTCAAGTCCCAGCTACTCTACTTCCAATCCTGCTCCCTGCTATTGTGCCTGGAAAGCAGTAGCAGATTGCTCAAGTACTAGGGCCCCTAACACCCACGTCAGAAACCTGGCTAGAGTTCTAGGCTCCTGGCTATAGCCTGGCCTTGCTCTGACAGTGGGGCCTATTTGGTGAGAAACTGTGGATGGCAGATTCCTTACCTCCACCTCCACCTCCACCCCCATCCCCAGCCTCACCCCCACCTCCACCTCCACCTCTACCTCCCTCTCTGCCTTTCAAGTAAATAAAATATTTTTAATTAAAAGTATAGGATGTTTAAAAATAAAAGCAAGAGTAATGACAGCCTCTATTTATAGAGCATCTACTCTATACCAGACACATGGATAGGAACATGTGCTGACTCATTTATAAACTCAACAATCACATAAAATGTTACTTGTCCTCTTTGACAAATAGTACAATTAATATGGTATAGGGCTTTCCCAACATTCCAAGCCTGTTACAACTGAGACTTTGAGCAAGTGTTATCTGATTCCAAATATCACATTTTATGTCACTGCCTCACCTTGACACATAACATGTACTCAATGAATATTTTCGTATAAATGGATAAGTTATGGCTGATTCAAGAAAATAGTCCCATATCCAATAGCTACAAAAAATAAAATATCTAGAAATAAATTCAACCAAATAGATGAAAGTCTTCTGCAATTAAAACTATAAAATACAAATGAAAGAAAGTAAAGAGGACACAAAGAAATGAGAAAACATCCTGTGTTCATGGATTGGAAAACTCAATGGTGTTAAAAGTCCACAGTGGTCAATGTGATCTAGAGATTCAAACTATCAAAATACTGATTACAGTTTCACACGCAACTAGAAAAAAAAAAAACACTAGTAAAATTTGCACAGAACCACAAAAGACTTTAAACATCCAAAGCAATCTTGATCAAAAAGAACAAAACAGGAGGCTTCATACTACTTGACTTTAAAATATACCATTTGATATAGCAGTTAAGACATTCCTTGGGGTGTTTGCCTCTTACATTGGACTGCCTAGTTTATGTCCTAGCTCCTCCACTCCCAATGCAGCTTCCTGCACATGGAAGGCAACAGATAATGGCTCAAATATTTGGGTCCTTGCCATCCATGTAGAAGACACAGATTGAGTTCCAGGTTCTTGGCTTCAGCCTGGCCCAGTCCTGGCTATTACAGGTATTTGGAGAGTTAACCAGTAAATAGCAGATTCATTCATTATCTCTCTCTCTCTCTCTCCCTTTTCCTCTCTCTCTTCTTCCCACCTCCCCCCTCAAATAAAAATAAATAAATGAAAAGTTTTTAAAAGTAAAATATACTACAAAGCTATAGTAATTAGAACAGCATAGTAAGGTCATAAACACAGAGGCATAGACCAATGGAACAGAATAGATAATATGAAAGTAAACTTACACATCTACAGTCAAGTGATCTTTGACAAAGGAGCTAAGGAAGCTTATTTGACAAAGGAAAATCTTTTCAATAAATGATTTTGGGGACCTTGGATATTCACAGGCAGAAGAATGAAACTAGTCTCCTCTCTCTCCATCATGTACAAAAATCAATTCAAAGTAGTTTAAAAACCTGAATGTAAGATATGAAACTACCAGACAAAAACAGAGGAAACATTCCAGAACACTGGAATCAGCAAGGATATTTTGGATAAGACCCCAAAAGCACAGGAAACAAAATTAAAATTAGCAAATAATATTTCACCAAACTGAAAGGCTGCACAGCAAAGGAGACCATCAACAGAGTGAAAGATAGTATCTGCAAGCGATACATCCCGTAAGAGTATACAAGCACCTCAATTCAATAGCAAATGATAACAATCCAATATTTTTACTAAAAAATGTTGGAGTTCCTCATTAAAATGAAACTCACAGACACTACACCAGATTTGACTGTCTACAATACTTTGTTAAGAAATGTGCTTTAGAGTTTAATCACATTACTTTCACCTCAGTGGCCAGTGCAACCCTGAATGTTTAATTATGCTCCTAGTTTTACACCTAATCAATCTTTTTCATTAAATCCAGTGAAGCAGACAAGTGGGATAATTACTGAAGAATCATCTTAATTAAAAATTTTAGCTTTTAATTAAGAGTCATTGTTTATCTCATCAGAAAACAGTTAGAATTCATGACAAGGTTGCCCTGTTCATTAAATTTTTAGCCTTTTTTGATATGGGACATTGTACATGATACTCCCATCTATGTGAGCATTTGAATTTATACATGCACATATGCTTGAGTATATTTAGGGGTGTTTTAACTCTATCAGAGAAAAAAATGCTAAAAAGCTGTAAACTCTGTGATTGAAACTCCTGATCCAATATTTATGTCTCAACTAATTACAAAATGTTCAAAAGTGAATTATTTATACACTGATTGCAAGTTGAAAGCATAATTATATTCACAACTGAACAAAAGCTGCCTTAAAACTTATTCTTACAAGTTATGAATTTCTTTTTTGTGCGTGAAGATTTTTTTTTTTTTTTTTTGACAGACAGAGTGGACAGTGAGAGAGAGAGACAGAGAGAAAGGTCTTCCTTTGCCGTTGGGTCGCCCTCCAATGGCCGCCACAGCCGACGCACTGCGGCCGGCGCACCGCACTGATCCGAAGCCAGGAGCCAGGTGCTTATCCTGGTCTCCCATGGGGTGCAGGGCCCAAGCACTTGGGCCATCCTCCACTGCCTTCCCAGGCCACAGCAGAGAGCTGGCCTGGAAGAGGGGAACCGGGACAGAATCCGGCGCCCCGACCGGGACTAGAACCAGATGTGCCAGCACCGCAAGATGGAGGATTACCCTAGTGAGCCACGGCACCAGCCCGTGAAGATTTATTTATTTGAAAGTCAGAGTTACACAGAGAGAGCAGAGGCAGAGAGAGAGAGAGAAAGAGAGAGAGAGAGAGAGAGAGAGAGAGAGAGAGAGAGAGAGAGATCTTCCATCCTCTGGTTCACTCCCAATTGGCTGCAATGGCCGGAGCTGCGCCAATCCGAAGCCAGGAGCCAGGAGCTTCTTCCAGGTCTCCCATATGGGTGCAGGACTTGGGCCATACTCCACTGCTTTCCCAGGCCATAGCAGAGAGCTGGATTGGAAGTAGAGCAGCTGGGTTTCGAACCAGCGCCTATATGTGATGCCGGCGCTTCAGGCCAGAGCGTTAACCCACTGAGCCACAGCGCTGGCCCCAGAAGTTATGAATTTCAACAAAGGTTATTGAACATTCAACCAACTCTCTGCAGCATAAAGAAATCATTTTTATTTTCTTAAACTCCCATTTCCATGAAATTTCTTTTCACCATGGGAATGATGATCTAGATCTTCAGAAGGAAGTCACCAATTCCTTGGAGGGCAGGAAATTCTATCAATTCAGCTGGTAAATACAGCCATGAAGCTTGGGAAACTTGGCTACACTCCTCATAGCAGCTCCACTGCAGCCCTCCAAATGCACATGTGGTGTTGTGTAACTCATAGCACTGCCAAATGCTTTGAGTCACTATCCTTTGCCTTAACAGTGAGAAATGGTTGTTTCAATCTCACAATCATTCTTTTATTTAGATTTATTTATTTATTTGAAAGTCAGAGTTACACAGAGAGAAGGAGAGGCAGAGAGAGAGAGAGAGGTCTTCCATCTGATGGTTCACTCCCCAGTCATAATGCATGTATCTATTGCTCTATTAAATGTAATCACAGACCAAAGTAAAGCAAAGGGTAGCAAGGGGGAACTGACCCATTCCCTATGGAAAATCAGGATCCAAGTAACATATTTGATTGGCTGTTCCTCAGTATCTATGAGGAACCCTGGCAGAAGGGCAAGGAAGGGGGTAAGGGAAGAAGAGAGGACTAACAATACTACAAGGATAAAATTAATCATTGGAATTGGCTTAAGAATAATTTAAATGCTATGCAGGAAACTCCACTGGAAAGTGGAAATATTTGGAAGTCAAATAGTTTTCATCAGCTATGACAATGAACAGCCTGATCTCTACAACATCAAAGTTGACAAAAGTGGCTCAAGTATTTTAAACTTCGGTAGAAAAATCCCATCCGATTTTCCCGTGCTAACAGTAAGCTGACTTAAAAGGTGGGCGGAGAAAAGTAGAGGCAGTGAATCAAACTCAATCTATCATCTGCAACCGAGGTTTTCAAACCATCTTCTGAAAAGACAAGATGCAGGAATCTGGATAAGTGACAGCTTCCTGCACACCCTCAGCAACATCACACTTCTCTTCTCTCCCTGCAATTCTGATTGCTCTTCCACACCAAGGCCAGGGGAAACGGTAGCTTTTTAAAGTATTGATTTGCACTTACTCCTGGACAATGGTCAGAAAGGTTGTCTTTAAATGTTCACCATCTTCATGAAGGATTTTAAAACCCATTTTCAACTGGGAAGGGAAGTGAAGGAGGCAGGATAAAAATTAAACCTTTACTTTAAGAAGGCTTGATAGTAATAACTGCTCTCAGTATGAAAAGAAAAGGGAGTAGAAAACAGAGTCTTGGGTGTCCCCTTCCAATGCTATTAAACACATGTTGAATATGTTATACTAGGTTCCCTTTCTGTAAAGCCTCATCTCAAAATCCTATGCAAAGCACAGTCTTAAACAGGCATTCCAGCCAGACTTCCAAATTAAACAGCAGCATTCGGAATTTCACACAAATTCAGAAGTGCATTTTCTGCTGGGG